TCCCCGGGCCCCGCCCGCCGGCGCCGCCGCCGGGCCACCCGCCGCCACTCACCCAAGGCCGCGGCGGCGGCGGCGGCGGCGGCGGCGGAGGGCGGCCCCAAAAGGGGATGCCTTCCGGCATGCACCTCGTGTCTCAGGGGGGCGGCTTCTTGCCGGGGGTCGTGCCCGGGCAGGGGCCGGGGGCGCCGCAGTACATGCAGCAGCTCGCGGGCCCCGGCGCGCCGCCGCCGCCGCGGGCGCCGCTGGGGCCGCCGCCGCAGCAGCAGCAGCAGAGGGGCTACGGCGGCGGCGGGCCGCAGGGCTACTGATGGCTCGGGGTCACTTGCGGCGGCACATGTGTGATCACTCCTTTTATTGGTTCCTGACAACGCTGCCTGTGCATCGTGCAACCGCCTGCCTGCATGTCATGCAACCGCCTCACCCGGGGCACCCATTACTCGACGCCGTGCCGTACCAACAAGCGCATTTTGGCGCGGCCCCATGCAATCACGGCCACCACCAATGCCTGGCGCGGGCGGATCCAGGAGCTTGAGCAGGTCGCAAGGTCACATGGGTTCAGCAGCCGCTTCATGAAACTGACCCAGATCCAGCAACCGACTGGCGCTTGGACGCGGTCGCGGGGCCGGCCCCCTCCGCTGACTCATTTTTTCAGAATCCTGGCGTGATGAATGGGGCGCCTGCCCCCGCCAAGCCCGGCTGCTGACTAGACGCAGGGGCGGGGTTGCGGGCGTGCTCGCTGTGTTGTACGGGCCGGCTCCCGCTGCGTTGCAAGGGGCTCTCGAGCCCACTCTGTTACTCAGCCCCGGCTGCTGATATCCTGCGGATCGGGTCACAGGCGTCCGCCTTCCAGCCTCCGCGCCCTCCGCCCCAGCCGCACCGTCTCATGCTCTCCCCAACGAAGGCAGTCTGTTCTGCGGCAAAGCCCTGTTGAAAGCCCCAAAGGACCCCACCACCCCACCAACAGACTATGCAAAGGCTCACACCGCAATTTTTCGGGACTTTACTGGCGGCGGGCCTCGAAGCGCAGCGCATGGAGGGAAAGTGTTTGCAAGGGCCGCGCCCCTGGCCGCAACGGCGGGCGCTCGCCCTGGCCGTCCTGCCTTTCCGGGCGGCGCCGCGCGGCCGGGCGACCGCAGCTGCTCGCGCGAGTCAAAGGTGCGGGCGGGGGGTCAATGCGGGCCTGTGGTGGGCTGCGGCTCCGTTTTTCTCCTCTTAAGTGCGTGCAAACGGGCGGCGCCAAGAGTCTGTCGGTGCTGGTCGGTGCGTTCGAGGGCGTAGGTTCAACAAGCAGAGCAGATCAAAGCAAACCGGCCGGCCCTCGGGGCCGTGAGTAAAGATGAGTCAACGCAGGGTTGCGGGCATTCCGCAGGCTGTTAGTAAGGGTTGCGTGCGGCCGCAGCCTTGGCAAATGCTGGGCGATCAGTCCGGGGCGCGCCACAACATTGGTGTGGAACAAAATGGCACAACAAAAGCATCAATGATGGGTTGAGGCGCACGGCGGCCGGCAGCCGTCGGCCGGATGTGCTTGCGGACGGCTGCCGGCAATACAGAGGCGGTTGTGCGCCGGCACGGGCAACCAGGGCGGCGCGGTGTCATAAGCATGAGCATGGGCAGAGCCAGCGCGGGACAGCAATTCTTCGGCGGGGGCGTGGGCGCGGCGGCTTTGAGCCAGCACGCAAGGGGCGCAGGAACGCGCCCGGGGCGGCGGGACGGCGCTTGGGTTTGGGGGGGGGGGTCCTGGGCAGCACAGTTGCGGGGGCGGCGCAGTCGTGGCGGGCGGGTCACCGCCTGGCCCGCTTGGCGGCGGCCGGCGCCTCCGCCCCGGCCGGCGCCGCAGCGCCGCGCTTGCCCCTGCCGACCTTCGCTGGGGCCGGGGCGGCCGCTGCTTTTGCCGCTGGCGCGGGCGCTGCGCCGCGCTTGCCACGGC